AGTGGACGGGAGAAAAAAAAGCCGCAAGCAGCTGCACGCTCACGTTCATCCTTGGGGCCGGGGTCAAACCAGCTGCTCTTTGAGCTCTTTTTAAAACTGGCTTCAGACAAAAAAAATATCATTTTAAACAAAATAAAACACAGAAGGAATTGAGCTGCTCGAGTCCTGTTCTGGTCCAGCTCCAACTCCTCGGCACTGCCACAGCTGAGGACCACTGTACCGCTGTGGTGCGCCTCATAACAAACACGCCCACAAACTCTGGACCTATCACTGAGAGCCGCAACGTCCTGTTGGCACAGTTCTGACTGGAGGCCAAGCACAAGACGGCTGTCACCGGGGGATAGCAGCGGGAGAGCAGACTGAAGTTGCGCAATTTTTTAATTAATATTTTTACTCAACAGGGGGAAAAGACGTGCGACTTGAAGTATAAACCAGGTTTTAAGAGGTCAGGGGTGTTAATTGCAATCTGTTAAAAATGACGGACGGCCTTCAGATTTTTCCTTCATTGTGTGAAAAAAACGGAAAAATTCGGAAAATATTGCGTTAACGCGACCTCTGGTCAAGACAAACGGAAACTATAACATACAGACTTGGTCCGAAACTGGCACACAATCATTTTTAAAACTACAAATTATCAGAATCAGATAAACAAAGGAAAAATATAGTAAACATTAAAGATGATAATAAATAAAAACTAAAAATAACTGTTTTTATATGTGATAAAAAAGTGGTTTTGAACAGAGGTGAGTTTTTAATCTCCAGGCCGGTCCTACAGGGCTCCCCGTTAAAAGCTTCAGCTCCGGATCAGAGGCGCCGCCTCTTCGTTTTCGATACCGTTCACATTCAGAGCCGCAGCCGGAGCCTTCCGGTAAATTAAGAACTGCACTGAAATCTGAGGGACACGGTTAAGGATCTCAAAAACTACAAAGAAGAGTTCAGGTAAATAAAACCACCTACTGTGATAAAGAGGATATATTTTCATTTAAAAAAACAGAAAATATTATTTGATCATAAAACCAGAATTTAATTACGATGTGCAATTTTTAAATTATTATTAAATTCCTTGTTTTAAAAGTCTTAAAATGATGAGTAGTTTGTTGAAATTTGGCGATTTATAACCTGGCTTGGCTTCAAGTTAGTTTTGTTTAATTTGGACAGATTTCACCCTTCAGACAGTCTTAATGATCAGGATGGCTCTAAAGACAAACTTATATTCCTGCCGTCTGTGGTGCATTAAGAGAGATCTAGTTAGCTTGGAAGGACGTCCAGACCCACGGAAGCCAAAAGTGGACGTTTTCCGCATGTAATTGTTTCCATGATTTCATGTATTATATCATTACCGTATTTTTCGGACTATAAGCCGCGACTTTTTTCCTGAACTTTGAACCATGTGGCTTATAGACCGGTGCGGCTTATACATGGATTTTTTTCTTCAGCCACCAGGGGGCTCTTATGCTCCATTTGCTTCAACCACTCGCTTCAAAAAAATGAAAGGAAAAAAAAAGGAAAAAAGCGATCGCTTCCAGAGCCGTTGACCAGGAAGCAGCGATTTAAAGATAGTCAATGGCCAAAAACTCATAAAAGGGGATAAAAC